TAGTTCATGTGTACCATATATCATTTGCTTAATTTTAACCATGCCAGTAGTGTGGCTCTGGGGTGGGCACCATCTATCAGATGGCTGTTCCAGACTTAAATATCTCAAAAATTGTGATAACGATTACCCCGGTGCCTAGAAGATGGTAACTTTGATCCCCTTAGTTTTCATCTAGAACTACTGTAGTGAGGAATTTAAATGTCAAATGCAAATACCTGCACGATTAACACTGGCATCAGTCTCGTTTGAACCGTGTTTAGTGTTAATCAGCAAATGTTTGTATGCTAACTCAAACAAAAGTTGTAAGTGTGTCTAACAGTACCTGCTAGCATGTTAGCGTGCTGATTTGAGCAGTTAAAGGGACTGTCATTCACACATTCACAGAGCTGCCTGTGTGGCTACTCTGGTTTTCTACTAGTTTGACCCTGCTGGCACTCTACTCAGATCTGCCCGGGTGGGCTTTAATTCATTTCTTCTTTTGTAAGGTTTATAGTCTAGGCAGATGAGAGTAGGTCAAAAGGCCATGATGTTACCTTTTGCTCCGTTTCTCCTGCCTTTATTGCTACCCATGATGTTATCCCTGCACTGTGGACCCTGTTATAGTTAATTGAATTAAATGGACTACAAACCATTACTTATCGGCATCTATACCCTTTTAAATGGTTACGGTATGTGCTTACTTGCTGTTAGTGCCTTGTAATATTTGGGAGCAGTGTGGTGTGGATAGTCCAGGCTGCACAAGCATTGCCATTAGTTATTCCACAGATGTTTATTATCAAGCTACCATATGTTTAACGTTGGCCTTTCATTTAGTTTTAGGCCTTTTGGTGGAGTAAGAATAGCACTTAGTGCTAGCATTACTTTGCCTTTGTACCTGCTGTTATGCATTGGAGTGGATCTGAGTAGCCTGGGGAACGCTGTAGAATGGATGCTTTAATCTGAAGCTAGATTCATTATTCAGACACACTCCTCTACCAAAGTCCTCCAAGACTTAGCGGATTAATATTTGTTTAGGATAAATAATGAAAGGCGTAAATGGGCTTGAGTGGAGCGTGACGGGACTAACCCTCCTTCTCATCGTCTTCTCTCCTCCCCTCTATTCTGTTTATGAGCACACATCCACTTTTATTGTGCATGGCATAGTGTCATGACAAGGCTGTTTCCTGTGTGAAGGATGGGTAAAGCCAGCCCTTGGGAACCACCTGTATTTCTTCGCCTCTTCTTTATGTTTGCCCTCCCCACATTTGTTGTTCTGTTTCTGCTAAGATGAGGCCTCGCTGCTGGTAAAGTGTAAGACATCTTCTTTGATTTGAGCAGCATTTCATCTGCAGAGCTGACTGAGCGCTGTACATAATGGCTCCACTGGAGCGTTAAAGGGAAATGGAGATGGTGTTTATTGTTTAGCTTGAAAGTTCTGTCTGACAGAGCAGCGTTTACACTTGGGAGGGGGGGGAACAAGTATTAGAATACGACTCAAGTGAGACTGAATATTTAGTGGCATGCTTTATGAAGTACACAATGACTAGGTTTGTGCATGTACCCATAACTGCCTTTAGACACAGACAACACACTGTACAACCTATTTAGTTTGAAGCATACTGAGATCCTAACAGAGGCACCCTGGTTGTAAGAGCTTAAGGTATTTGAGTTGTAATGTCCCTGGTTTGTGTGTCATTCCCATTTTTTATCCTCACAGTTTCTGCTGTCTCTATCTAGTAAATGTATAAACCGTCTAAAATACTGCTTATTTACTCCACTTGATCCACTCTATGATCATCATATTTG